ATATTATAACGTCGACTGAGATAAATAATAAAATGAAATATTAAAATCATGATTTATCTCGCTGCATTGCGCGAGTACGCTTCTAGTTATATACAAGTGATAGATGCCAAGATGGTAATGAGATACAATATTGCCTCTATAATGAATTAGTGATTAAAGAAAGTCACAAGAATCGGGTATCCGTACCCTAGACGGCAATCAAAGAAGTATGCCCGTAGCTCCTATTCCCTTGTTAATGCCCATTTCTTATTCTAAAATTGGTCCTGAATAAGTTACACATGATTGTGACTGATTGATACAAGATCTACGGATGTTACAATCCTCAAAGCACAAAGTACAAGCAAAAATAAAGCTACTAAATCCCCTGCACCAGACAGCTTTGAACCAACTTGACTTTGATCATTTTTCTCATACTTAGAGATGCATTCAGGTGTTAATGTCTAAACAAAAGTTTCAGGTCGATTACTTAGGGTTCCAATCGATTTGGATTCATTCCGTTTGGAGCAAAAACCTATTTTATATGAATTTTCTAAAAACAGTATGCAAATCCCCTTTTTGCACAGGACCAGCTACATAAACTTATTGTTTTGAGCATTATGGAGGTAAAATCAAGTCTGGACATAAACTACAAAGTTGTAGTAGACACGAATACGTTTCCAACAATATATGGCACACCTCAATCGGATCAATGAGTGATTTTATATGAAGTTTTAAACAACCAGCAGTACTAAGATTCTTATGTACAACTCAAAATAGCCCCTTTTATATAAATTAAACACTAAAACCATCAAGAATCAATTATCTACCTTTACCATATTGCAAATAAATGATTAAAACTTAATTTATAACTTCTTTAACCAACAATGACATAAAAATAACATCATTTAACAAAGGTTTAATCAAAACCTTATGAACCCTAACATAAACCTTCCCAACTTTATCACAAATCAACAAATTAGACCAAAAAATCTTGAAATTTATAGATTCATACCTTGCTTCTTTACATTCTCTTCAATCAAGTAGCTTTAAATCTTCAAAATATCACCAATTTAGAAGATGCATGAGAAGGTTAAACTAAATCTAGGGTTTATGTGAAGAGAGGGTACTTAAGTCTAGTGAGAGAAATGCAAGGGGAATAAATGAGTTAATTTTTCTGAAATTTAAGGGTTTAAATAGTTAGTATAAAAAATTCCCACTTATCAAATATTACTCCTCATCAATTGCCTAATTCAATATTAGTTTTTACAGATTTTTCTTAACATTTCTAGTCCTAAGACCAATTTATTTTCTACATAATTGACCCTTTACATAAAACTTGGGCTTACATTATTAGTCCAAAATACAACTACTTAAAACAAGGGTACAAGTAGATAAAACATCCAACTGTCATGTAAATAAATATATCAAGATTAATCAATAACAAAATCTAGGTTGTTATAGTTAAATGCAGACGTGAATTTTTCCATAGTTATGTTGTAAGTCTGGGGGCCGTAAGTGAAAATTCTGTTTTAGACGAAAAAAATCAACAACCGTCGCACAGGAACGTGACACGTGTCCCCAAAGTTACTTATTTATTAGTATTATAGATGTGTGTGTATATAAGTTAATTAACTTTATGTTATTATTAATTAATATGGTATTAATATTCTTTTAATAATTATATAAATTAATTAAATTCACATTATTATTAATTAATTAAGTACACGTGTCCCAAAGTTACTTATTTATTAGG